CACTAAGCCACATTCCCAGCCCCACAATGTATCTTTTATGTATAAGATTTTGCTTCCCTGTATTTTATTTGGGTTAATATGTCTTATCTATAGTAAATGGATGTTTTAAGTTATTAATGTCATAAAAATGTGTTTATTATACAATTATCCTAGGCAGAAAGGATACATAATAAAATTTCACTTAAGATTTAGTTTGTGGTCTAAAACATTCCATGACTAAACTATCAACAAATTCAAAAGTTTCCATGTTAATACATTGTAACGCCATATAGTAATACCACAAAAGTTAAAATAACTCAGTCCAACACTCCTGGATTACAATCTGTAATCCTAGCTATTCAGGAGGCTGAAATCAGGAGGATCAAGGCTCCAAGCCACACCAGGCAAAGAATTCACAAGATCCTATCTGAACTGAAAAAGCTGGGCACAATGGCATAGGCTTGATATACTAGATATGATGGTAAGGTAAACAGGAGGGTCACAGTATAGTCTGGCCCCAGCAAAAATATCACATATCTCAAATATAACCAGAGCAATCTGGGCACTAGTGGTTCACTCCTATAATCTAGCTACTCAAGGAGGTGGAGATCTGAGGATCCCAAAAAGCCAGAAGTGGAGGTGTGACTCAAATGGTAAAGTACAGCCTTGAGCAAAAAATAAAAAATAAATAAAAAACTCAAGCCCCAGAACTAACAATAAATAAAAATCAGAACAAAAGACAGGAGACACATTCAAGTAGCAGAGCTTGCCTATCAGCATAAAGCCTCTGATTTCCTAATACCATTTAAAAAAAAAGTCTACCAGACTTTCTATAACTACTACTTCCTATGAGACTAAAGGTCTCTTTAGGGCCTATTAAAAACCAACAGTAAAGTGAACATCAGACATGTTCATTTAATTTCTCTCTTGAGGAAACACCTAATGATTTTCTTACAGACTTTTTAACAATAGACGTAAAAAAGGCCTTCAGGATGTATACATGCATTAGAGAGGTATACAACCTATCACTTGACCAAGTGCTGGAGACTTATACCTGTAATACTAGTCAGGAGGCTGAGTATCTCAGTTCAAAGCCAGCATGGGCAGAAAAATCCTTGAGACTCATATCTCCAATTAGTTACCAAAAAGGCTGGAAGTAGAGCTATGGCTCAAGTAGTAGAGTGATAGCCTTGAGCAAAAAAAGCTCAGGAATGGGGCTGGGAAAGGGGCTCAGTGGTAGAGTGCTTGCCTTGCATTCATGAGGCCCTGGATCCCATTCCTTAGCACTACATAAGCAGAAAAAAGCCAGAAGTGGTGCTGTGGCTCAAGTGGTAGAGCACTATCCTTGAGCTGAAGAGCTGAGGGACAGCACCCAGGACCAGAGTTCAGGCACTATGATGGACAAAAAAAAAAAAGCTCAGTAACAGTGCCTAGGCTCTGAGTTTAGGCCCTAGGACCAGCACCAAAAAATTGACTCATTTGAACTTTCTATTTAAGTAAAACAAAAACTACTATTTACACTAAGCTGTGGAATTGTCTTTCCCTTCATTTCTTCTTGTATGTCTGCCTTTGCATTATTTCAGTAGCAGCAGCTGGCAGCTTTCTATCCTCATTCAGTCTCTTACTCCGTACTTAACCTTGGGCAAGTTACTCAGTCTCTCCGGGCCTAAGCTTGCTCATCTGTCAAAGACAGTGATAAATCTCATTGTGTGGCTGTGAAGATTAGCTAATACATATAAAGCACTTACAAACACTGAATGGCATAAATATCTCCTTAATAGCTAATGATTATAGTACTGTAATAATTTATTCTTATTCACAGGGATTGAAGAGTTTAAAACTAAAGAAAGCAAAAAGTCTTTCTGGCTAAGTAGAACTAGTGAAAGCTGATTATCAGTTCAGATGGCTAAAAGGAGATTAAAGAATTATCCATGGATTTTAATCATCCTTTAAATCCCAAATACTCCAAATCCCAAATGCTACCTTAGTAAAGAGTTGACTGAAATCCCAAAATCCTGTTTAAAAGTTAGTGGTGAGGGCTAGCAAAGTGGCTCAGTGGTAGAGTGCTTGCCTTGCATGCATGAGGCCCTAGATTCGATTCCTCAGTACCACATAAGCAAAAAAGGCTGGAAGTGGCACTGTGGCTCAAGTGGTAGAGCACTAGGCCTTGAGATGAAGAGCTGAGGGACAGCACCTAAGCCCAGAGTTCAGGCCCCACTACCGATCAAAAAAAAGAAAAAAAAAGTTAGTGGTGAAAATTTGGATAGCGATAAAAGCATTCTTCAGACCCACCCTAAAAGATAATACTGCAAAACTTCATCTCTTTGGTATTGGACTGATACCGCTAAGCCTATTACTTGCTGAGCAGCCCATCGGGCCCCAGTAACTAGGATTGGCTGCTTGGACCCTTGTTAGCCCATTTATTTGTTCACACACTTTAGTTGCAGTTGTCTGAAAGCTGGGGCCAAAACAAAGGACAGCGTTAAACATATGTGAAATAAAAACAATGGTTGGGCCGATATTCTCTCTCTCCCAAATTAAGTGCCCTTCTTCAGATAGCTTAAGCTACTGCCTGACCCACTTACAGAAACATTTTTTTTCCTTTTTTTTCTTTTTTTTGAATACTGAGTTTGAACTCAGGTGTTAGCACTTGTGAAACAGATGCTCTACAACTTGAGCACACTCCTGGCCCTTTTCTTTTTTGGTATCAGGGAATGAATCTAGGACCTTTCACTAGCCAGGCAGCCACTCTGCTTGAGCAACACCCCAGCCCTAAGCTACAAATTTTCTAAGGATGCTAGATGATAACAATGAGTTAACATAGGTTCATCAACTGTAACAAACATAACCTCCTGGTAGGGTGGTTTCTAGTAGAGGTACCTATGCAGCTGGGCAAGAAGTCTAAGGGAAATATCTGTACTTTCTACTCAATTTTGCTATGAATCTAAAATTACTCTGAAAAATAGCATTGTTTTAATGAAATTCATTTTTTAAAA